GGCCTCCTCTCGGCCTCCTCCTCGCGCTCGCGCTGCTTGCGCGCAATCTCGTCCGCCTTGGCGCGCTCCGCCTCGCGCTCCGCCTTGAGCTTGGCGGCACGCTCGGCAGCCTCGCGGTTGCGGCGCTCGATCTCGGCGGCAGCCTTCGCCTCCTCCTCGGCGCGCTGGGCGGCAAGGCGCTCCTCCTCCTCGGCCTGCTCGCGGGCACGGCGCTCCGCAGCCTCGGCCTCGGCCTGCTGGCGCTCGCGCTCCTCGCGCTCGGCCTTGCGGCGCGCAATGACGTCGGCGTAGAACTTGGCCTTCTCCTCTTGGATGCGCTTTTGGGCCGCGACGCGGGCAGCCTCGAACTCGGCGGCACGCTGGGACTCGACCGCCTCGCGGGCAACGAGGTAGTCGGGCATCATGCGCTGGAGACGAGCCTTGAGCTCCTGGGCGTGCTTCTGCTGGGCAATAGCCTGCTCGCGAGCAGCCTTGTTGGAGCGGTCGTGGGCCTCCCTGTCCTCCTTCTTCTGGCGGGTGTAGTCCTCGGCGAGGAGAGGGCGCTCCTCCTTACGGTACGCACGCTCGAGGTGGTCGACACGCTTGGCAATGATACGGAGACGCTCGTTAAGCTCACGCTTCTCCTTGGCGATGTGCTCGACCTGCATAGCGACAATCTTCGAGGTGTCGAGCTCCTCGTCCTTCATCTCGTTGACGTCGATGCTGATACCACCCTTGGCGGCGAGCTGCTCAGCGAGCTTGCGAGCCTCCTCACGGCGGGTAGCCTCCATCTGGCGCTGGAGACGCTCGACCTCGGCCGCACGGGCAGCCTCCTTCTCGCGGCGGGCGGTCTCCTCGGCGAGCTGCTTGGCACGCTCGGCCTTGGCGGTCGACTCCTCACGCTCACGGCGGAGGTTGGCCTCCTCCATAAGCTCACGACGCTTCTGGATGATGAGGCGACGGTGCTCGGCACGCTTGCGCTCCTCCTCGGCCTCAGCGATGGCAGCGGCGAAGGCCTCGGCACGCGAGGTGACGGGAACGGGCTGGATGTACTGGATAGCGTTGTGGAGGCAGAGAGCGAGGTTCGAGAGGTGGTTGAGGTCCGCCGCAGGGGGAGCGAAGTTGAGAGTCTTGGCGACGTGGTCAATGGTGGCGTTGATGTCACCGTTGCGCGAAGCAGTCATCAGGAACTTCTCGAGGGCGGCCATGTCGGTAGCCCAGGGACCGTTGTCGAACGCCTTGACAAGCGAGAGAACCTTGTCGAGCGAGACGGTCTCGTAGACACGCGAGAGCTCCTGGATGAGACGCGAGAGGACGACGTCACGGAGAGCGGGGAGGTACGCGGCGTACTCGGCGGGGAGGTTGGCGACGATGGGAGCGAGCTGCTTGCAGGCGCGGAGGGGCTGGAAGTCGGTCTCGAGGATGGTGTAAAGCTGACGAACTTCGGCGGGGACACGCTTGAGGTGCTTGGCGGCGGCGTCCTGGACAAGAGCCTGGCGAGTGGGCATCTTGGGGAGGTTGAGCAGGGCAACGAGGCGCTGCTTGGTCTCGACGTCACCGAGGGGGACGGCAAGAGCCGAAAGGAGAACGGCAACGGGGGCACGCTCCGAAACGGTGCCAGCGCGCTCGGCGTACTGGTAGTAGCGAGCCCAAGCGGCAGCGTGGAATACAGCGGTCTGCTTGCCACCCTCAGCCTTGAAGATCTGGGTGAGCTTCTCATAGTAGTTGGCCATCATGCTGGGCTTGGCGCCCTTGCGGCCAGCAACGAGACCGTGAACATCCTCAACCGAACGGAAAGCCTCCTGCCAGAGCTCAAGCTCGACAGCGGTCTCGAGCTGGAGGAAACGGGTGTCGAGGTGACGGGCAAGAGTCTCGGGGTCGTGGAGGTTGACGGAGTGCTGCTGGTGGCCGTACTTGGCGGCGTTCGAGAGGTCCTTGCGGAGACGCTGCTCACAGAGACGACGGAAGTCCGACTTGCGCTGGTGCTCCTTGCAGAACTGGAAGGCACGGTGGGCGATCTGCTGGTAAATGACCTCGAGACGGTCGTTGCTCTTGGCAATATCAAGAGTGACGTCGTACGAGTCCCAGCAGAACTTCTGAGCGGGGCCGATCAGGCGGCGCTCAATGCGCTCACGGTCACCAGCCGAGTCAATGAACGAGTCGTAGAGCATGGTGGTAGGCTGGAGGGGAAGGTCGTCGTCCTGGGGCTCCGTGCTCGAAGCGGGAAGAGCAGAAACCTCCTTCTCGGCCTGCTCCATGGCAGTCTTGAGCTTGGCCTCGGCCTGCTCAATGAAGTGCAGGAGAACACGCTCGATCGAGGGGACGTTCGTGTTCTGGGCGGCGTTCTTGTAGTGAACGAGGGCCTCACGAGCGTCCGACTTGCGTTGGAGAGCAACGCAGAGGTCGAGGTACTTGATCATGATCGGCTCGAGGGTGGGGATCGGAGTGTGCTTGAAGCGCTTCGACTGGAAGACCTCAGACAGGAACTCGAAAGCCTGAGCCTGCGACTGGGTCGTGCCGAGAGCGAGAAGCTCCTCAGCACGCTAGCGACGTTAGCATTCTGCATGCAAGGCGCAAGACGTACCCTCAGCGCGTTCTCGGGCTTGACGTAAACGGGGGGCATGTTGTATTAGGTGGGGAGAATGTTACGCGGGATCGCGTTTGGACGAACAATGGGTCGTCTTTTGTCGTTTTAGGTGGTGTCGAAGTTTTCGAACAAAGGGACCAGACTACTCTTCCTCACTACCTGCGGCGACGCAAATGGCAGCGATTTATCGACGTAGTAACTGGGGGGAGAGGGAGGGGGGAGTCGAGGTGTCGTGAAAGACGGTAGAGGTGGTGAGGACGGCAGATCGGCCGGTCTGGTCTGGTCTCTCTGTGAGCTGCGTCCTGGCAGGCTGGCCGGTGGACGTCGAAAAGTGCGTGCAAGAGCCACGCTCTGATTGTTCTCGTGGACGGAGTTATGGGTGTGTGGCACTCGGTCGGGCTCACCCTGGCTGGGCCCCTATGGTGCGCGGTGGTACTACGGCCGGAAGCAATTGGGCGACTGGGCCACCCACTGCAGGCCACGGTGGTGACGCCACCGCCCATTCAGGCAGGCACGAACGCTGGCTCGTCCGGCTGGGCTGGCTGGGCTGGCTGGGCTGGGCGTTCACAGGGTAGGACTGCGGGCGACCACGGTACAGCGCTCGGCTCCTGGCTGGACGGTCCGGACACCTACGCCTACACTGTGGTATGACATACATTCGTCGCTCCCCTCCTCCTACTCTCAACCACTTGCCTCTTGCTGCTTTCAATATCTACACCTTCTCTCCTCGACCCCCCTTGCATCACACGAACCTCTGCTTCCATCCCTCCCTCCCCGTCTTACCGCCCCCTTTCCTTAGCCAGCCATGGCCGCTCAGCTGCAGCACTTGTGAGTATGACTGCATTCGCCGCCGCCGCTCAAAGATGGAGCTGACGACACAGTGGCCGTGGAGGTATGTCTTCCTCCAAACTGACATCGCATCTGCTTGCAATCGGCGATTCCGAATAGGTACTGACTTGCATACAGCGCTCCGAGTAGCGAAGAACTACACCAAGGGGTACAGTGACACGCAGGTGAGCTATCGCTTCCAAATCTCGCCAGCTGACAAGCAGACGAAAGTCCGTGATGCGACCTCAAACGATCCGTGGGGCCCGTCGGGCACCCAGATGAATGAACTCGCCCAGTTGACCTACAAGCAGTGAGTGGGCAGTGAAGACGGGCGTGATAGGCGCATAGCTCCGTCTGTGCCCCCAGGGAGCCTGTGGCTGACGCTTTAGGGGCGACTTTGTGGAGATTATGGAGATGCTCGACAAGCGACTGAACGACAAGGGCAAGAACTGGCGCCATGTGTTCAAGGCGCTCACTGTGCTTGACTACATCCTGCACGCCGGATCGGAGAATGTTGTCATCTATTTCAAGGACAACCTGTACATTGTCAAGACGCTGAAGGAGTTCGTGTACGTCGACGACCAGGGCAAGGATGTCGGACACAATGTCCGACAGAAGGCCAAAGACATTACAAACCTGCTCCAGGACGAGGACCGACTGCGCGCGGAGAGAAGGCAGCGTGGTGCGATGCGTGACCGCATGCTTGGCAACATTGCCGATCACGGACTGCAAGGCGAGGACGACTATGGAGGCCGAAACTACGACAGCTCGTGGCGCGACCAGGAGCGGCAGGAGCGCAGGCCCACGCGCCGCAACGACGACGAGGACTCGGACCTCCAGCGCGCGCTCGCCGAGAGCATGCAGAGCAGCCAGGACGAGGACCGCCGCCGCTCCCAGCAGCAGAAGGAGGAGGATGAGCTGCAGCGTGCGATCCGTCTCAGCGAGGAGGAGGAAGCGAAGAGGAAGCGGGAACAGGAGGAGGCGAACCAGCGTGCTCTCATGGACGACAGCTTCCAGCTCGAGTCGAACAACATGTACACGCAGCAGCCGCAGCAGACCGGCTTCCCTCTCGTCGACATGAGCGGCGGCTGGAACCAGCAGCAGCTTCAGCCGCAATACACGAGCTTCAATGTGAGTTTATCCTTCCTGTATCTCGAAACTAACGTTCAGCCCTTTGCCGCTCAGATGCAGCAACAGCAGCAGCAGCAGCAGATGTACCAGCAGCAGCTCCTCCAGCAGCAGCAGCAAGAAGAGTACATGCGGCAGCAGCAGGAGGCGCAAGCGCGTGCCCAGATGCAGTCGTCGCTGCTTCCCCAGCACACGGCGTACGGCTCGAACAACCCCTTCGCGCCGAAGCCGACGATGCCGCAGCAGACAGGTTCGCTGTTCGACTCGAACCCGCAGCCGCAGATCCAGCAGCAGCCGACAGGAATGTTCGGCAACTCGTTCAACCCGCAGGACAACAACAACAACGCTTTCACGCCGCAGAGCAACCAGACTCTCACGCCGACACCGGCAGCGCCCAAGCCCTTCGCTGCGCCGAAGAAGGACGATGGCGAGCACGCCGGCCTCGCCAACCTCATCGGGCGGGGACGCGAGGACGGCCTCGACACGTTCGGAAACGTTGGTAACCTTCGTGAGTACTGCACTGCGCTGAGTGGGGTGACTGCGGATATCGCTTTGGCCCGTTCTGCGGAATGCCAGAAAGCCAAGACAGCAGATGACGCGGGCGCGTCGACGCAGACGCGCAAGGCGATGCAGTCCGCAGCCGCTCTACCGGCGATTACGCGTAAGATCTTCGCTGACGTACAGGTATCCCCCAGGGAGCCATGTTCCACAACTCGAACCGCCTGGCGATGCAGGGTACGGGACTCGGCGCGAACAACCCGTTCGGCCAGCAGAACAACAACAACCAGCAGAACCAGCAGCAGCAGCAGACGAACAACGAACAGCCCTTCTTCACGATCTAGACGAGTACATGCGAGCGAAGTGAGCGCGCCCGCTGTTCGTGTGAATCGCGCTCGCTGGGGCCGGGTTTGTTGTCGTATAATGTTTCAGGAGCGGGGCTGTGTCGGCGTCCGGCAGGGAAGCGATGTCGAGCGAGGTCACGAGAGAGTGGAGAGATCGGGATCTGGATTGATCGGGGCGTGTGGCGAGTGGCGGGCGAACTAACAAGCGGCCAGTTGTCCAGTGACGGCAAGCTCCATAGACTAGCGCGCCCAAACCAGAAGGCGACGCGATACCTCAAAAGCCGTCACTTCGCGCTCTGCCGTCAGTCGCCATAGTCGTTCCTGTGCCCGCTGCGTGGTTTACATAGAGACGGAAATGTTCCTTCCTGTACAAGTATTTTTCTCCTTCTTTCCGCTGTTCATTGCCCCCTCCCCTTGTCTGCCTCCCATTTATAGTTTTCTAGTGCCCATCATGAACGTGATATATGACTGCATGCGAATCTACATTTGGCCCAGGACAAAGGGAAGGTGGTTATCTGTGCGAGATGCCCAGGTTACTACTCCAGGATACTCTTCTTCCTCAACGGCTGCATCTCGTGTTCCTCAGGCCTCTGCCGCCTCTGCTCGACCTCACCCCGTGACCGGCGTCGCACCTTCTTGGCGCGGAAGTACGTCCTGAGCAAGCTAATCCAGCCCGCCACGAGCCCGACAGGCGGCACGAGCCAGCACAGGCGCCACCACCACCCCGTGCTCCCGCCCTGCTGCTGCTTCCACCGTGCGACGACGCGGTCAACCTGCGCCTCGAGGTCGGCCAGCGTGCCGCTGTTGTCGATGACAGAGGTCGCATAGTTGAGCTTGGCGCTCATGGGCATCTGCGCCGCCATCCGGTCCTTCGCCTGCGTCTCGGTCAGGGGCGGGTTGGGCGGAATCGGCGGGCGGGAGAGGAGGCGCGACAGCTGGAGTTTCTCGTTGCTGCTGTCAGCTAGACATGACCCTTGTTCGAAGCTGTATTGCTCGCACAGCCTTCCCTCGAGCGAGAAAGGCGGGCAGAGACACCAACTCACATGTACACGACGACCACCTCGCCGACCCACTTCCACAGCCCCGCCTCAATGAGCAGCGGCACGTCGAGGATGACACACCACTCGCCCCTCAGCCACGCCTTGAGGATGCCCACGACCATAGCTCTCCTAACCCGGGGATGGACCACGCCATTGAGCCAGTTGCGCTCGTCCCGGTCCTTGAACACGATCTCGCCGATAGCGGAGCGGTTCAGGCTTCCGTCCGAGTTCAGGACGCGGTCGGCGCCAAAGTGGTCCACGACCATGCGGAACCCGCTTGTGCCCGGGGCGATCACGTCGCGCGCGAGAATGTCTGCGTCGATGATCGGGAGCGAGTGCCGCTCGCGCAGCATCTTGGAGACGGTCGACTTGCCTGATTGTCAGCTTGGCCAAAGAATGGTAGCTCACCAGTGGCAATACCGCCCGTGAGGCCGACGACGAGCATGGTGCGTTCGTGTTGTTGTGAAGGAGAAAGGAAGGTGACATTGTTGCCCATCCGCCAAGACGCACCTCGCCGACACACCGGCATCTTCCCATACCGAACTTGCATCCTGGGGTGGAGGCGGCCTGGCGGCGGACTTGCAAGGACTCTCCGCAAGTCGCGTCACTCTCCCACGCTGGCTGCCAAGCTTAATCAGCCCCCGTGCGCCCAGGGCCCAAGTCCGCCCACGAGCGGCAAACTCTATCAGATAACTGCTTGTAATCCCCGCCTGGCCATTCGCCACGGAGCTTAATGCCGATGTAATTCCGAATTACACTCACCCCTCCCTCTCTGTTGCTGCGATTTCGCCACTGGGCGACTTGGGTGGGAGCCGAGGTTGCGGGAGCAGAAGTCTCGGGCGAGGCTCGCGGCTTCGAGGTTTAGCAATCCTCTGCTCCAGTTGCTCCTACGCAATACCGGGTTAGTCGCTACCCTGTCCTTCACTCCTGTTCCACACTTAACTCCTCCTCACTTTCCTAGACCACTCTTGACACCTTCAACTTTCTCAACTACTACTCTTTCACTATCGTCATCACAATGTTCCGCTCCGCCCTCGCTTCCACCTCTCGCATGGCCATGCGCGCCGCCGCCCGCCCCATGGCCGCCCCCGTCGCCCGCGCCCCCATCGCCGCGACCCAGGTCCGCGCCTACCACCCCAAGGTCATTGACCACTACGAGAACCCCCGCAACGTCGGAAAGATGAACAAGGCCGACCACGACGTCGGTACCGGTCTCGTCGGTGCCCCCGCGTGTGGAGAGTGAGTATCCGCTGCTCCGAGACGGGAAAGACGCAGGGCCGCTATGACGTGAGAAGGCCTCTCGGTGTTAGATGGGCCGTTGTCAGTGACAGGAGTCCTGTGGCAACGATGTCGTTGCAAGCCGTCGCCGTCCCTCGTGACGCTCGTGACGGTTTGCCCAGCAGTTACGCCAGAAGTTGCTTAGCTATGACTTCTCTCACGTCCGCCCGCCCTGAAAACTTGCCCGTCTCGGGCTCCTCCAGCCGAGTGTCCAAGCGCTAACTCTCTTTCCAGTGTCATGAAGCTCCAGATTCGTGTCGGCGAGGACGGCATCATCGAGGACGTCAAGTTCAAGACGTTTGGATGTGGTTCCGCCATCGCGTCCTCGTCCTACATGACTGAGCGTGTCAAGGGTCTCAGCCTCGAGGAGGCCGGCAAGGTCAAGAACACCGAAATCGCCAAGGAGCTCTGCCTCCCGCCCGTCAAGCTCCACTGCTCCCTGCTCGCCGAGGACGCCATCAAGTCGGCCATCAAGGACTACCAGGACAAGCGCTCCAAGCGTCTCGCCGCCGCCCAGGCCGCCGACGCCGCGCCCCAGGCCGCTGCCGCGACCGCCTAAGCGTGTCGTGCACTCCACCCTCGTCATATCTCCTCTTTCTCTCTTCCTCTCCCCAACACACCCCCACCAAGTCACAAGTGGTTAAAAAGCAAGTCTCAGAGGAATGTCGAATGTCCTGAGTCGTGTACGCATCTAGTCCTCAGCCCCGAGGTGGAACGACGGAGAAGGAGCAGTAAACGGAAATCAGAAAAATCTAGACCCCACCCCCCCTCGGCCGACGACAACAGTCCGGCGAAACAAAATCATCAGACCCCAAGGCCCCAAGTGAACGACGTTAGACCCGTGTATCACTCCATTGTTGTGTAGCGCGACGGCGCGAGGTTGACGTAGCAGCAAATGCATTTTTCTTCTAAGCCGAGCGGCGAGCGGAGCGAGCAGCGAGCGAGGCGAGCGTGGAGGGAGTACTGAGCGCGACTGACTGCGGTACTGCGGCGAGCTCCCATCTCTGTTGGGAAAGCATCTGAACGTGCAGTGAGAAGCGCCATGATCTC